GCTACATTGAAAACAATTTTTATAGAGTGACATATGTCAGTCATGAAAGGACTAATATGGTATAAGGCCACTATTATAAAAACTAAGGAAAGGTTGACATACAGATACAATCAATCATGGCAATTAACAAGGATGGGAAGGGAGGGAAAGGTGAGTAAAATGTAATAAATTGATTACTTAGGTGAAAAAGAAGACAATACAGAATGAAGACTGATTAAACATTGTAATAAATTAATTTAATTAATAGATGACAATGAATGTTATGAAACAAAATGTCTACGAACGTGAAGAAAACCAATATTATTTATAAGCTTTCATTCAAATGAAAAATAAATCATTTAATAAAGTTTGATGGTGATTAATTTTATAAAACAATGAGTGGGAATGATTGTATGAAACATAATTAATATAAATGAAGGATAATATGAAAACAATGTATACAGACTTAGTATGTAGATTAATATAAAATAAAATTTTTTTAAAATGACCAAACAAAGTAAAATATAAAACCGCAAAACTATTTCCAATTTAGACTCTACCTTCACATTTAGGAATCCTCTTACCAGAGAAAGACACTCCTATCAACATGAAAAGCATCTGCATTAAAAAGTAAAGTTGAAAGGAAAATACAGAGAAGGAAAATTCAAAAGCAATACTATTTACAATAGCCAACCACAAATAGAAATATTTAGGAATAAGTCTAACTAGAGATATAAAAGAGAAAAGTGCAACAATGAATGAATGGAAATCCAAAATCTCTGCAAATGTTCATTAAAATTAATAATAAAAAAATCAATACATGTAAAAAAATTTACAAAGAAAACTACAAAACACTTCTGCAAGAAACAATAAAAGACCTAAATAAATGGAAAAGTGTGTCCTGTTCATGGACAGGAAGACTCAATATAGTTAAAATGACAATCCTACCAAAAGCAATCTACATGTTTAAGGCAATCACAATACAGATACCAAATTCATTTTTCAAAGAGATAAAAAAGGCAATCAGGAATTTTATTTGGAGAGGAAAGAGACCATGAATAAGCAAAGTACTTCTGAAAAAAGAAGAACGAAGAGGGAGGCATAGCCCTCCTTGATCTCAAAATCTACTATACAGCTATAATGACAAAAACAGCACAGTACCAGTAAACAGACAGGCACATAGACCAAGCGAACAAAATCAAGAACACAGAAATTAACTCATCTATCTATGGCCAACTAAGATATTCAACAAGGAAACAAAATCTAACAAATGGAGAAATGACAACCCCTTCAACAAATGGTGCTAGTAAAATTAGACTGCTATCTGCTGAGAGCTGAAACAGGATCCACACTTCATACCATATGCAAAAATCAACTCAAGGTGGATCAGAGACCTGGGTGTAAAGCTCAAAACCATAAATATCATAAGAGACAAATTCGGGCCAAACTTAGAAGCCCTGGCCTATGGTCTAAAGAGGTTGTCAAATACAGCCAAAATCCACATTCAAGAAAAGAGATGCAAATCAAAAATACATTGAGATACCATCTTACCCCAATAGCAGTGGTAAAGTTCAACAGGACAGAAAGCAATAAACGTTGGAGAGGATGTGGAAAGGGAAGAACTCTCATATACTCTTAGTGGGCTTGTAAAATAGTACAACCACTCTGGAAGGTAGCTTAGAATTTCCTCAAAAAGCTGAACATAGAAATTTCATATGACCCAGCTATTCCACTTCTAGGAATATACCCCAAAGAATGTATAACTGAGACATAAATGGAAATTTGCACACCAATGTTCATAGCAGCATTGTTCACCATTTCAAGACATGGAAACAGCCCAAATGTCCAGCCAGAATCAAATGGATTTAGAAATTGTGGTACATTCACATGATGAAATACTATATAGCATTCAGGAACAAAGATTTCAAAAATTACAACATAATATAGGGGAGACTAGAGGGAATTATGCTGAGTGAACTAACTCAAGCTCATAAGGATAAATACTACATAGGATCATTATTGTAAAAACAGGGATAACTATTAAAATGTGTATGGGGACCCAAGGGGATAAGGTGTGGGAACAAAAGGGTGAAGGTGGGGAGGGGGGAAATCATAGTGTTGAACAATTTGGTGGGTGAAGAGAGGGGGATAAAGGAAATAGGAAAAATTTAGTGGAGATTTGGAAATACAAGGTGGTGATAGGCATAGTTTAATGGTGATTGAGTTTATAAAACATTTTAAGAATGATTGTATGAAACATAATGTGAATGAAAGATAGTATAAAATATAATGTATAACTAATTTTATATGCAAACCAACATAAAATTTAAAAAACCCAAACGTGAAGCTGAAAATACTGTATGAAACACAATGTGAATGAACAGTAGTGCGAAAAAAAAAAGTCTCTTTTGCTGATCCTTCACCATTCCAATGACATTCTTTTTTTCAAAACAAAGCCCCTACTAACAACATGTCCAAAGTATGTGAGATGAAGTTTCTCCATCCTTCCTTCTAAAGAAGACTCTGGCTGCCTTTTCTCCAAGACATCTCTCTTTGTTCTCTTGGTTATCCATGGGATATTCTGTATTCTCCTCCAATATCACAACTCAAAGGTATTGATTCTTCAGTCATCCTTATTCATTGTCCAGCTTCCATAATAGGTGAATAATAGGTGCTTGAAAAGACCATAGCTTGAATCAGGTGCACCTTGGTCTTTAAACTGCCATCATTGCTCTTCAGGATTTGGGAAAGGTCCCTAATAGCAGACTTTCCCAGTGCAATATAGCTCCCAATTTCCTGACTGCTAGTACTAAGGTTGTTAACTATGGATGCAAGTAAGAAGAAGTCTTTTACAACTTCAATCTTTTCTCCATATATCATGATGCTGTCTATTGGTCCAGTGGTAAGTATTTTTGTCTCCTTGATGTCAAGGTGCAGTCCATATTGAAAGATGTAGTCCTAGATCTTCTGGAGCAAGTGTTTCACGTCCTCCTCACTTTGAACAAGCAAGACTGTAATCTGCGTAATGCAGATTGTTAATGTGTCTTCCTCTAATCCTGATGCCACAATTAAAACAAGTCCACAAGATCATAAATACAATATAGATTCTATTCTATTCAG